GGGAGAGGGAGAGGGAGAGGGAGAGGGAGAGGGAGAGGGAGAGGGAGAGGGAGAGGGAGAGGAGAGGAGAGGAGAGGAGAGGAGAGGAGAGAAGGGAGAGGGGAGGGGGAGAGGGGAGAGGGGTGAGGGGAGAGAGAGACATAGAGAGACAGACAGAAAGGGACAGAGACAGAGAGAGAGCTTGGCATCTTTCCTCTATCTTAAGAGGGAAGTTTTTCTGAGTCTTCGATCATGGTGATTGGGTAGGGAGAGAGAGAGTAGACTTGAAAATAAGAGAAAATAAATTAACCAAAATTAGTAAATTTACAAAAAATGTGCACTGTTTACTATAGCAGGTTTTTTTTTGAACTTTCTTGGTTTATGAACTTTTTGGATTAAAAAAAAATTTTCCATAACTGAATTTTAATATAATTGGTTTCCTTAGTAACCCTATATATTTTTATGCATTTGAAAAGAAGATTCTTAGAAGGGATCTGTAGTCTTCACTAATCTGGCAAAGGATCCTAAGACACAACAAAGGTGAATAACCTTTAATAATAACAATATTAATATTAATAATAATCTATATCAATAATAATTTTTGAAAATTTCCACAAGCACTGAATAAAGGATTTTTCAAGTCCTGGGCAACCAAAGAAGTCTTCTAGAGAGACAAATGATGACCACTTACTTCATTCTCTGTGTTTCTCTAGTCCTCAGCCCAGACCTGATAAGTCAAGGTCCTAGCATTCACTAATATCATGGTGTGGGTTCTCTGACTGGGAGATTGTTGTAGGATCAATTTATCAGAATTTCTAAACTCTCAGAAACTATCATGGTGATCTCTGACTAATTCTTCCGGACCAGACTTACAGCAAACAATGAGAGGGTTTAGGGAGCTCATTACAAAACCTTCTCTTATTTTCATAGGTACATAATCCCAAAGACTGTAGACTCCCTCCAGTAGTGCCAATGGGAGAATATCCATATGGTCTTATCCCTGGACCTTTTTTCCATGTCCTCCCAAAGATCTTCTATAGGATCATCCTGTGCTCATCCCCAATAGGCTTGGGTTATCTTCTACCTCTCTTGAAATTTCATAGCTACCAAGAGAGCACTAGGGCTATCTATTGCTTAAACCTTGGTCTGGCTCTTGAGATGGGGTCTGTTCACTTGCTTTCTGGTCACATAAATATCTTGTAATGACTGAGAATTTCTAAGACTGGAGTGAAACTTAGGAGAATTCAAGATATTAGAACCACAAGGAAGTATGCATTTTGGGAACAGAGATGTTGAGATGAGACTGTGCCTGGGATAGGAATTCCTGACGAGGAGACTCCTTTTACAGGGAAGGTGAAGGTTGGCACCTTCTCTGAAGTTTATGGTATTAGAGAATTTTGTAGCAACCCAAGAGGCTAGATGGGTTGCCTAGGAGCACTCAGCCAACATAGATTAGAGGTAGGACATGCACATGGGTCTTCCTCACTACAAGGCTGGCTCTGTCTCCAATGTGCATTATTGCCTCTCATGATAAGATACGTAAGAAAATAACATAAATGAGGCGCCTCACTGAATATGAATATAAGTAACCCTTCTTAATCCCAATGAGATTGTGTCTGAGGATACCTGGTGGTAGCTAATTGGCCCTCTTAGCTGTCCGTTTGGTTATTAGGTCCTTACTTCTAAGTTCAGGACCATTGATGGGAAATCAGCAACTTGTCCATAATATTGAAGAAAACCAAACCACCCCACAGTGCTGTTTTCCTTGTGTGACTCAGGGAATCAGCCACTGTGATCTCGAATCTTTTGATATCTCATCATCCTGCCTGTTTCATTCTTGCTAATGGTGCCACCACACATTTCTTTGCAGGAACACTACCGGGATGCTGTAGAACATTATGAAGCTGATGACTTCCAATTGGCCATTGAGTCCTTTGAACAAGCTTTAAAGGAATATTTCGTGGCTGATAGGGAATGCCGGCTTCTGTGTGAGTGGTCGCAGAGCTATGGTGACCATGACAAGCTAGCGAAAACTGACGGCTTCTATGAAGTCATTGCAGGTGAGACTTTTCATTTGATTCATAGGAGAAATATCGAAGCTGGAAAAAAACCTTAGAAATAACTTAGTCCAACAACCCTATTTCACAAATGAGAAAAATGAGGTCTAGAGAGATTAAGTGATTGAAGTGCCCAAGGTCACAGAATTAATGGAAAATTTCATATATGTCCATACGATTTTTTTTTGTGAGGCAATTGGGGTTAAGTATCTTGCCCAGGGTCACATAGCTAGTAAGTGTTATGTGTCTGAGACCAGATTTGAACTCAGGTCCTCTTGAATCCAGGGCTGGTGCTCTATTCACTGTGCCACCTAGCTGCCCCCATATGATTTTTTTTTAACAACACTTCTTCCTTTTCTAGGTAACTTCACTTTGACAGGTGCCATTTGCTGGGCCAAGGATGTGCTATTTGAGGAAAGCTTTTAAATTCACAGAATTTTAGAGCGGCACAAGTTTAGGAGCTTATCTAGTCTAGTCTCCTTGGTTCTAAGATTGAAGCTCAGTGACTTGCCCAAGGACACACAAGTCAGACTTAGACCCAGAACTCTGTCCCATCTTCTCCCTCCTGTGTTCCCTCAGCCACCCCACTGCCCCCACCACTGCTTTTAGGTTGGGAGTCAGATCAGAAACGGAAGGAAAAGAGGGACAGTGAGGAAGCATCTCTAGAATACTCCAATATGTCATGGACTTCATTGTAACTTTGTTGAAGTGTATGTACCTGCACCCCTTCCACTGATACTGTGGTGGCTGTAACCCATCCCCATGCAACCAAACTGATGATGAACCTGTGACGTGTTCTGTCATCAAATGACAGATACAGTGGCCATCCCCAGGCCCATACTTGAAGCCCTTCCAGGTGGGATAGATTTACCAGGGCTTGCATTCCCCTGGCAGAGCTGACAACAATACAGGGTCACCCAGTTACCACAATGAGGCATCCAAGGACTTTCATAGATGTTTTCTGAGGTATAAATTGGAAAGACAGCCTGACTCCTTTGTTTATGGTAGGGACCACTGGATTGCCGTAAGCCCTTTGGAATCCAATTATGGTTACAGGAAACCTGGAACATTGTCACATGTTTTCTTTTTTTTTTCCTTCTGCTTTGTCCCAAAGTCCCAAAGCAAGGTTAATGAGTTCCCTGCTGTACTCTTTGTTCAACAAATGACTTTGGAAGAAACCTCACACTTCCAATTAGATTAGCCTGTTGGAGAGCCATGTGCTTTTATCATCCCTTAAAGGAAATTCATTTGACAGAAGAATTGTTGACTTGGTATGTTCGCCAATAACATAACCCACCTTCCTTGTTTAATAATGATGAGGAAGGGGGGACAACCAGGGATTTATTTACTGCCACTCTTGCCAGTTGAGTCCTCTCAGCTTTGCCTTGCTATCTGGGGCAAGTCCCTGATAGGGAGAACCAGAGCATTCTAGCCTCTAGCTGGACTTCTGCGCACAGAGGCTGAAGAAGATAGAAGTCTCTGGTTTAGCTCTGTTATCCCTTGGACTAGATCTAAGTCCCCCTCACCCTCATCCAGCCAACAACTTCACTTGATAGATGGAAGCTGCAAAGGGGAGGAAGGAATGTTGTAGCGTAAGAGGAGTATTGGGCCGACAGTCAAGTGACCTGTTCTGCTGCTTACTCTCTGTGCCTCCTTGGGCAAAGCTGTCCTCTCTCAGGACCAAGGCTTGGATGAGTCTACCTCTCAGGTTCCAGAGCTAACCCCTGTGATTTGGCAGTAAGGAGAAGAGCCAGGATTGGTGCTAGGTCCTCTGGCCGTAATCCTGTGTCCTTTCCACTATGACACAGATGCCCCATTTTGAGGTGCTGAGTGATGGAGCCATATGACGTTTCCATGTGGTTTGCAAACATGTATCAAAATAAGACAATCCTTTGAACGATTGGATGAAAATATCTGCTTATTTGTGTCTTCCTATTAGGGTATCTTGTCCAAGATTGGCAGTCATTATTAGCTCCTATTTTAAAGATGAAAACTGAAGCTCATTGCTCATGGTCACACACCTCCCAGGGAAATGAGAAAACAGAAAAAAAAATAGAGACAGCAGAAAGAAACAAACTCCTCAGAATGACATTATTTTAAGTTTTTAATTAATTTTGTTTAACTTAGTTCAAGAGCAGTTTTAGAAAAGCTGGGGTAGAGAAAGAGATTATAAGATGAAATGAAAAGGCGGTGTTGAAATTCCATCCAGCCAGATGCTCTATGCTCACTGGGCTCTTCCATCTCTTCCACAGGTCTCTACTCCCAGCGTCTGATCTGTGAGCATGACTGTGTGAGGGAGCTTGCCACGTGGCCCGGGCAGCTGTCTCCCATTGAGAACTTCCTACCTCTTCACTATGACTACCTACAGTTCTCCTATTATCAAGGTAAGGGGTGCACAAAGATGGTGCTCAGCTCTTCTCTGTGGGGCTTTCAGGGGAAAGCAAGCTTGAAGTGAGTCGGGAAGGGGATGTGACAGCTGGGTAAACTGGTGGGATTGCAAGCTGCCTTCAGAGAGGCAGAGAGTTCAGAACCAAGAAAGTGATGGTCTCTAGCCTCTGCCCTGGTCAGACCACATCTGGAGGCATTGAGCTATGGGTGCCTCGGGACAGGAGATAGCACTGACATTGATAACTCCCCAGAGGAGAGAGCCTGACGGGCTCCTTCTGGGCCTTGACTTCATGCCATTGGAGGGTGACAGATAGGAGAGCTATTTGCAAGGATTGGCACACTTGCTCTGCTTGGCCTAAGAGGTCAGAATGAGGGGTGATGGAAGAATGTTGCAAAAGGGACAATTTAAGGTTAACACCAGGAAAATCTTCCTAACAATGAGAATGGAATGAACAACCCTGGTGGAGGAGGTCACCTTCTCCTTGGATGTCTCCAAGCCCGGCTAGATGACTGCTTGTTCTTGTAAAGGGCATTGGGCTTTACAACAGGCTACCAAGATCCCTTCTGAGTCCAAAATTCTTATTTTTTCACTTGTTAAAATGAAGGGGTTAGACTAAGTGACATCTGTGGTCCCTTCAAACATGTCTAAACCAAGTCTTCTGGGCATCTTCTCTGCGGCACCTCCCTGGCAGCTGTACACGTCCCATTAAGGCCTTTGCCTCTGTGAGCATGGCAGCAGGTTTCCTTGCCTCCTGGGATCACTGGGGACAGTGACAGCTTTACAGCCACGGCCTACATTAGGAAAATTAGCTTGTAACAGTGTCTTTTATGGTCATATTCATTGGAGGTGCACAGATACTTCTTAAAATAACAAGGCAGAGTATGAATTGACATTTTTAGCCTACTCTCATGAGCCTTTTCCACCCAAAAAAGCAAAACACAGCCTCTTCTTCAGGGACCTGTTACACAAGTCATTATTTTGGACATTATTTGACAAAAAATGGAAAGATTTTAAGTGAGTCCTGAAATTCAAATGTTTTTAAACACCTGAAAGAAAAAGAAAAAGGTCATTGTCTGAGTACTCTGAATGCTCTGTTATCTTACATTCAGAGGCCGATTTAAGTACTGGAGAGGTGATGAGTATCCCTGATATTCACCAAGAAATCACCTCGAAGGAATACTTGTATGGCGCACATTACTTGTGAGCCAAGAGAGGGTGGATGTGAAACCCAGAGCCCACACATTACTGTGGGATTTGTTGAAGGGTGTGTTATAGCCTTCCAGATTTCAGATGGAGACTGGGAAGCCGCCAAGCCTCCTTGGTGTTCCTGGGCAAAAGGCACACTCACTTGGGCCTGGGGAGCTCCTTGCCGTCCACTGGCATAAACATGCCACAACAAACCCCAGCATCCACCCAGAAGGTCACAGGATGACTCTTCAGTAATTATGCTAAATGCAGGTTGAGGCCAGATTCCTTTCACTTATATAGAGAAAAATCACCATGTCTGATGTCATGTCTTTGCAGTAGTCTCATTTTTGAGCCTTAAAAATTTAAGAGTGCTAATTGGCCAAGGCAAAGTGCTTGGGCCTGTGAACATCTGAGCTCCAAAACACTGGTCTTTTGGGGCAGCTTGATCTTGGTACACCTGGAAGACCATTAGTGGCCTCAGAATTGAGGGGCTGTTATCTGAAGGGAAGTCTATGATGACTAATTTCTCAGAATTAACCCAAGGATGACTAACATTACATTCAGAGATCTTTAAAGTCTATAGTGGTCTCAGGGTAGCTGACCTACCCAGTAAACATAGCAATAATTATTCTGAGAATGAACAACCTTGGGAGAATCTGGCATTTTAGAGCATTTTAGGGGAGCTCATTTAGCTTCATGCATAAGTTACAAAAAAATGGAAAAAAAAAGGAAAAAATAGAAAGTTAGCACACACCCTATGAAGTTAGAACCAACCATCCTTCAATGAAACACAGTATCTCCACTTGTGCACAAATAAGATTCAAGTAAAACATATTTAATGTAGATATTTCTTCTGCTTGGGAAGGAGTCTTCCCCATTGAAGGTCACACCATCTTATGCACTAAATATTAAGTGCAGGGACTTGGGACATCATTTGGCCTCATTTGCACAAGTACAAATTCATACATGAGCAGCTTCTGAAACCACGAGATGGTCTATAACATCCATATAGCACAGGCCAGATAAAAAGACCTCCCAAGGCATACAAGAGAACACACTGGCTTGGAGGGTTCTGTTCCATTGGAAGTGGGTCAATAAGCATTTATTAAGTGATTACTAATAGTTAATATAGTAATCTCAACTTGACCCTCACTATAGCGTAAAGAGATGGCATGGCACTTCTCCTCACCAACATAAACCCCTTGCCATCCCCTTTTGCTACAGTCCCTCCTGTCATCTCCAGCAGATTTCTGCCACTATTGCCCCATTCTGCCTCTAATCTTCCCACTTTCACTTCCTAATGACTCCTTTCCTGATGCCTTCAAATATGCCTGCATTTCCTTGTCTTTAAAAAACCATCACTTGATCTGAACATCCCTGCTAGCTATTGTCTTTTATGTCTTTTACCTTTCTTGGCAAAACTCTGTGAAAAAGCTGTCTACACTGGGCGACTCCCCTTCACCGTCTCTCATTTTGTAAACCCCCTGAGACTTCTGCATCACTCTACTAAAACTGTGCTCTCCAAAGTTGCTAATGGCCTCTTAATGGCTGAATCTAATGGGCTTTTCTCAATGGTCACCCTTCTTGACCCCTCTGCAGCCTTTGACACTCTGGACCACTGTCTCCTCCCTGATTCTCTCTTCTCTCTAGGTGTTCATGACATTGCTCTCTCCTCATTCTCCTTCATCTCTGACTGTTCCTTCTCAGTCACTTATGCTGGCTTTTTGACCAGGTCACTCCCACTAACCTTGAGTGTAGCCCAGGGGTTTGTCCTGACTTCTCTTCTCCCTCTATAGTATTTTATTTGCTGGTCTCATCATTTTTCATGAGTTCAATTGGCATCCCTATGCTGATGATTTACATATCTGTATACATAACCCTTCTCCTTTTCTTGAGTACTGCGTTACCAACTGCTTTTTTGGAATGGGTGTCTCACAAACTCATGTCCAAAAGAGGCATTCTTTCCCTCACACCATCCTTTCTTCTGAATGTTCCTGTCATTGTTGAGAGCGCCACCACCCTCCAGGTCACCAGACTCATGACCTCATTATCATCTTTGAAGTCGCTGACACCCACGCCACACCTCCAATCAATTGCCAGATCTTGCAACGCCCCACCTCCTCCACAATATTTCTTATATACATCTCCTCTCCTCTCACCTTGGGCAGCCTCACTCTCCTTCATACCCTCCTGAACTCTCTCCCAATGTACTACAATAGTGTTCTGTCTAGTCCCCCCACCTCAAGTCCCTTCCCGCCGCAGTCTATCCTTTATTTGGTTCCAAGGGTGACTTTTCTAACACATGAGCCTGAGCTCATCTTGGCCCTTAACCCTACCCTTTGCCATCCCCAGCTCATAGAGCCCCCACGGCCCTTCCCAGTAACACCAAATGTGAGGTCCTTTGTTTGGTATTTAAAGCTTTTTATAAGCTGGCCCCTCCTCCCCTTGCCAGTCATCCTGCTCCTGCTCCCTCCCCACTCTCTATGATCCAGCCACCCTGATGCACTTGGGGTTCCCCAAAATCACCACTGTATCCCCCACCTCTGGCATCTGCATGGCCTGCAATGTTCTGCCCTCCCTTCTGCCTCTGTTTCCTTACCTTCGTTCCACACTCAGGTCACATCTCATCCTCTTCAGGGAGCCTTTCTGGGTTTCCGCCTCTCAGTGTCTTACCTCCATTTATGCCATATACGTCCAGCCCTTAGCGCTGTGTCTGACACTAACAAGTGCTTAATACATGCTTGTTGACTGAATTTGCCTGGTACTGTGCAAAGTGCTAGGATGCAAAGAAAGGCAAAAACATGTTCCTTGATCTCAAATAGTTCCCAGCCTAATGGGGGACATAACATGCAAATAACAGTCCACATGGAACTCCAAATACAGTATAATTCCACGAAGGTAGAAGCACCAACAGCTGGGTGAGGGGAGAGAGATCTGGTGAAAAGACCCCACCTGGGAAGTCAGTGGGCACTGTCATTATGCCTGGTATTTTTCGACCTCTGCCTTCATCCCATTTCTCAATGATTGTCATTGTTTCTCTGTCTTTCCTGCCTATTTCAAAGTTTCTCACAGATTCATTGGGTCAGTCCCAGTTGGCTCTAATACCACAACTCTCTGCTTTTCCGCAGTTGGCAACTATGTGAAAGCCCTGGAGTGTGCCAGGGCCTACCTTCTATTCCACCCAGATGACGAGGATGTGCAGGACAATGTGAAGTACTATGAGAGTGCGTTAGAAGAAAGCGTGGACCCCCAAACCATCAAACCTAGGGAGGTGAGTTCAGTGCTTCCATTGGCCATAGGTGTCAGGACCACTGGGTACATCATTCCATGTGTCGTGGTTTGGATCTGTGTTGCGACGTCAACAACAGTTTGACCATCTGCGCTGTCAACCTAGAAAATCAAAACCAGCTCAGACTGGAGATAAGTAGGCAGCGAGGTGGCCCAGTGGATAGAGTGCTGGGCTTGGAGTCAAGAAGACTCGAGTTCAAATGCTGCCTCAGGAATTTCCTAGATCCGTTATCCTTGGTAAATCATTTAACCTCTGTTGGCCTCAGTTTCTTCATCTATAAAGTGGGGAATTGGACTCTGAGGTCCTGCCCAGTTCTAAATGATGCTATCACCTGACACACAAGGCAGGTCCAGAAAATGTCACTTTATGGTTTTATTTTTCGTAAATGCACATCATTTTAATGCCTAGACATTCCAACTTCCCAAGCCATGCTTAGTCACGTTTGGAGAGGCTCCTTCCTCCCCATTGGGAGGAAGTTTTTTGGTCTCAGAAAGTCCTCAGGTCTACAGGGGTGCAATTGGCCTGGGGGGTGGGCAGAGCAGTGACATCACAGGTCTTGGACGATATCAAGGTCAGGCTGACCCCCTTCTACCATGTATTAGCTATATCATCTCTTCTAAGTCCTACTTTGTGAAAACCAGGCTAGGAAGAGGTGCATTTTTTAGGACTGATGGCTTAAAACACACACACACACACACACACACACACACACACACACACTGTTCTTTATTTGAATAAATTCTGTTTGTCCACTGGTCATTGGATCATTCACCTTACAACTCACCAAATATTTACATGCCCTGTCTTTTTATTTTTTTGTTTGTTTTGTTTTGATTTTCAGGATGCAACAATATTTATGAAACGGCATAAACTCGAATCTGAGCTTATCATGTCAGCTGTGGTCAACCTAGGCATTCCCTACACTGAACAGGTAAAAAAAAAAGTCTTTTGTCTGCCTCACTGTTTATGGGAAGAGACAATTAGTTTCTCTTTGTTTTGCCATTGTTTCTTTACGTAAACAAAATGGGAGCATTCCTGGGCTTTGGAGTTTAAAGGGAAGTTTATGATTATCCAATTGCTTTCATAGAGGTGAGTGACTTGTCCTAGGTCACATCCAGTTTCAGATCCAAGACTACTCTGGATCTCCAGGTTCCCAGGCCACTGGTGTTCCCATGGTGCCATCTTCTGGTGCCAGAGCTCCATAGGGTGGAAGTTATCTCTGAGGTCCTCTAGTCTGAGCCTTGGTCCTTGAAGCCTCCCTAGGCACCTGGTCCTGAAGGTTGTTACAGAAGAGATGTTCAGTTCATGAAACCCCGGGTGGTGACAAAGCCAGCTTGCTTCTCTTTGTGGCTTCCATTTTGTCCCCCCACAGGTGCCACCATTGAAATGGCACCAAGTGCCCTGGTGCTTCACTGGGCACAGGTCCTGACCATCTTTGTTCCTGGTCACAGCCTTCATGGTAAAAACAACTTCCAGTCTCTGGGCCCATTTTAACAGCTGGCTTCATGAGGCATTCAGAATTCAGTTTCTTAGTTTCTGATCTTTGCAAAAGACAGACGGCATGTGGTTGAGAATACAGGGCTGGCCTTATTGTCTTGAAGGCCTGAGTTCAAGTCTCACCTCTGACACACACAATGTAACCCAAATAAAGAGATATAATCCTTCAGTGCCCTAGCAACTCTGTAAGACTGTAAGTGCTGGACATTTACCAATAGGCATGGATAGAGGGAATTTGCTCACTGGGAATTCCCTATACCAATGTGATCACAGGTGTGCCCAGGTGTGCCCTCATTTTTTTAAAGAACAGGTGTCAGAGATAAAGTTACGAAGTGATTTGTTTTCCTTATTTTCCCTTTACTCCAGAATTACTGGATCCACGATGGAGGACGACAGGAAGATTCTCAGTGAGTTGTTTACTTGGTGTATGAACTGCATCTTGGTGGGGCTGGAGAGTGGCAGGGAGTGGAAAGAGTTTGCAGGCATGCCCCCATCTTAAGAAAAATGAGGTTCCTGAAATCAGAATCCACAAATTAAACCACTTAGGAAGTTATAAATAAATTTATTCCCCTAGACCTCTCTACATTTTTAAATGATAATTCCCCGTAATACCTTTGAGGATTTAGTTTCATGAATCCCTTCAAAAAGGAGGTGGGTGGGGGAGTGTTCTCAGGAGCAGAGAGGCCTAAAGCTCCAACTGTTGGAGATTGTTGGAAATGAGAGAACAGCTCTAAAATGGGGTTTTGTGTTAGTGGGAGAATCGAGTTTCATTTATGTATTTTTGGAAACAATAACAGCGTTAGCCCGATCATGACACGCAGGTGATGCTGGCCCTGCCAGTGGAGTGGCCGCTTTGACCTGTCCCCCAAAGTGGAGAGGCTTTAGTCAGGACCTGCCCAAAGCAGTTCAAAGGGGCTGGTTCTGGGGGCTGGCTGCGAGGATTCGGCCATCCACCAGCAGCAATGAAGGGCTGCCATCTTGGAATCCTGGAGGGCTGATGTTGCTGCTCATGCCTCTACCCTGTGCCCAGATCCCAAACCCATACGTAGCTTCCTCATAAGGAGAATCCACCTCCTATGTGTATCTACCCCTTCCTCCTCCCCCACCCCATTCAATGAGATGCCTGCTTCCTCTCCCTTTGGGCACAGGCTCCTTTCAGAGACCGACAACAGTATGGCCGCGGCTCCCGAGCAGTCTGTGGGGAAGCAGCCTGTGCCCAGGCTGGAGCGGGACATTCGAGAGGGTAAGTGAAGGGCACCAGCTGTTATTCGCCAGAAGGGCCCTCAGTGCTGGGGCCCTGGAGATGCACAGAACGAAACACCTGCCCCCAAGGGGCTCCCGGCAGCCAGGAGAGATGAAGCCTGCCCAGAGACAAGATGAATGCAAAGAAGCTCTGATGGGGGAAAGAGAGAGAGAGATAGGAGGCAAAGTTCTGTAGAGAGACCTGAGGAGGGAGAAGATACTTTCAGCTGAGGGAATCAGGGAAGGCTTCATGGAAGAGGCGGCACCTGAACTGAGCCTCGAAGGGAAGAATTTCAACAGGCAGAGAAGAGGAGGAGGGTACATGTCTCAGGTAAATGCAGGGAGGCAAGAGCCTTCAGGGCAGGATTGCAGACTATCTCATAAGGGCTGGTTGGAATATAGAGAAAGAAGGGAAACCACACCATGAGGCCGACAGGTATGTCCGAGGCAGGCTTCCTGGTCTCCCCAAGGCCATATTCTGAACCTCTGAATTTCTGGGAAGCCTCACTGAGCCCCATTCCCTCTTAGACTCTTGCTCTGATGGCGCCAGGCTTGGAGTCAGGAAGGCTTGAGTCCAAAGCCGGCCTCAAACGCTCTGGTTGTGACCCTGGGCAGGTCTTTAATTTGTCTTCTCAGACTCTGTTTCCTCATCTGTGACATAAGAGGGATGGGCTCGTCAGGTTGAGGTATGATCTTCTCCGAAGCTCCCTCCCTTGGGGTCCAAGGGTCCCACAGACAACAGACCCTCGCTGAGCTGAGCTGAGCCAGCTGATGTCCCTCAGTGGCGCGTCCCCCTCCCCAAGGCTGGTCAGGCTAGGAGGCTCAGTGCTCTGTCCGCCCCCGTTTCCTTCTGGGAATGTGCTGGCCCAGCTTCTCTGAAACCTGTTTATGTTTTCTGCCTCAGGGTCCCTCAACTTTGACAGCCACAGACCGGCTAGGCGACATGGGTGGCATGCTACAGATGGAGAAAGAGTTACAGAATTGGGAGGAGGAGAAAAAATGCTAGATGTTTGGACCAGCCAGACGGCTGCTGACTCAGAGGTCCCACCAGGGCCTGGTGCATTCCAGCATGCTCTTTGGGGTCACGCGGAGAGCAGGCCCTTTTCATGAAGTCTTACAAAGCACTTTTGTGACAGTAGCCCTGTAGGCCAGGCAGAACAGGCATTGATATCCCCAATATACAGATGAGGAAACTGAGGTTTATCAAGGTTCAGGGACTTTCCCAGAGTTACGCAGCCAGTGCTCAGGCTAGGACCCAGGCCCGTGTTCTGTGTCTCAGAAATCAAATCCCCTAAGATAGAGAATCCAAGGTCAGACTCTGTGCCCTTGGACCCAGGCCCACCTTGTCCATGGTTGGCCTGTGCATAGAGACTAGTCGAGGAAAGCTTGGTGATGGAGGTGGGATTGGAGCTGGAGCTCGGAGTAGGTGGGATTGTCAGAGGGGAGGGAGGAGCGCATTCCAAATGATCCAAGGTGTACAGGTACGACAGGTGTCAACGAGGCATTCCATGCTGAGGGATCTTGGGAGACGCATGGGATAGTCATGATGTCACTGGGCACTCAAGGGACTTCTGAGGCCACTAATTTTAAAGATGTGGAAACTGAGGCCCAAGAGGGTGATGTGACTTGCCCAAGATTACATAGCTGGCCAGCCTCAGGAACAGGACTTGAACCCAGGTCCTCTGCATCAGAAGACATGGAGTCACATCCCAACTCTGAGACTCACTGGTCATGTGACCATGAGCAAGCATTGCAAGTCTCTAAGCCTCAGTTTACCATCTTAAAATGAGAATAATAATTGCCCCACCTAGTTCATCAAGATGTCGGGACAAAAGGCTTCGTAAACCCTTAAAGTACTGTTGCAATGTGAGCTACGATTGTAGCAAAGGATCCTGGAGATGATGAAGGACTTTGATTGACAGGCTAAAGCCCGGTCGAGTCAACAAGGTTTTATTAAGCACCAACTGTATGCTAGGTAGTGGACTAAAATGCTGGGATTAATTGCCGTAGGAAGTGGGTTTCATTGGGCCGGTGGAGCTACAAGCTATTCTTGTCTTAGAAGAACGGGCAGATATTTCTATCCTGGAAGAATAAAAAATAACGTCCATGATGCAAAGCTTGCTTCCTTGCCTGTTTTTGTGGCCCTTAGATAAGACGGGAGTTTCAGCCCCTGCCTTGGCCTTTAGCCAGCAAGTTTAGGGTAGGACCTTGTCCTGGGACCTATGCAAATGGAAGGCTTGCTGCTCCCCTGATTTCCTGGCTCTTCCTTTCCTCTGAGGGAGGTAGAGGCATCAGCCTGGATGATATCCCCCATCCGTTGAGCCTCTGGCTATGCTCCTTCTCAGCCACAAGCCAGCTGGGCCTCTACTCTCTCCCTGAAGTTGTGGTCATCCAGAGGTCAGTGACTTTGTCCAACTGGGGAAAAAAAACCACCCAGGAAGTAGCGGCCAATTCACCACTTTCCTGTAAAGGTCTGGGGAGCCCCAGAGAAGCTGCCAGACTCCAAAGCCCAGCATTAGCTAGCAGAGTCTCTGGCGCCATTGTGGCAGAGTACAGGAACAGGAGGGCCAGAATTGGTGGGAAGGAGGGAAAGCCTTCATGCTCAGGCAAGGCCCACCTTTCCACTCCTCAGACCTGGGGCTACTCCTGCATCTGGCTTCATCAAGCCTTCCCTAGTGGGGAGCCTGGGAATGCTGCTTTGTCACACCTGCTGCTGGCTTGATGCTGAGGACAGGATGGTCAAGGGCTCAGACCAGGTGACCATCCTCCAGCTTTCTGTGACTGGTGACTCTACCGGTCCGGAGCCCTCTGTCCCACTGTCTCTTGCAGAGAATGTCGGTCTTTCTCATCGTGGCTCTCAGCTGTCAGTCTCTCTCATCTCCAGATGGGAGGCATTGTAGCCAGACACTCAGCTGCCTCCTTTCTGGAAACCCACCCTCTCCCTCAGCTTTCCATCCTTTGCTTTCACTGGAAGCAGTGTTTGCTCGGCCTTTCGATAGCCCAACTTGGCACGGCAGCCGTGGGCCTGGCCAAGCCTCGTTACAGGCAACGGCTTCCCTCCTCTCCCCCCTTTCCTGATCCTGAGACCAGCAGCTCAGCAGAAGCAGGGCCAGGCGCATACCTTGAGCATGACACAAGGCTGCTCTGCCTGAGCCGGACGGCGGCAGCTCCATGACCAAACCATCCCCACCAACCACAGCTCATTGGACAGACTCCTTGTTTTCATTCCTCCGTTCGCCTCTGTCTGCTTACTATGGCCCTCCTTCCAGAGCAGCGCTCAGAATGTGGGAGGCGTGTGCCTAGGTGCACGTGTGGGAGCGTGCGTGCGTGCCTTCACATATCCCAAGTATTGAATGGGGTTGAGGGGTCATCACTGTTTTTCAGGGTATCATCCTTGCCTCTGGGGACAGTCAACAAAGACAGGTTTTTGTATTGAGGGGGCCACGGGCAACAGGGCTATATGTATGTGTGCACATATGTATACATATATGCAGAATAAACATAAATAAAGTAGCTTGGTACAGGTTGGGGGGCCACTGGCAGGTGGGAGCTCATCAAGGCTTTGTAGAGAAGAAGGCTTCTAAGCCGAGTCTTGACGGAAGAGAAGGGCTCTGAGATGAGATGAATGGGGAGTTAATTAAAGGCAAGGCAGCGTCATGTGTGAGGGGCAGAGGGGAGCCAGGCTAGCAGGATCACAGTGTACAGGAGAAAGAGCGCTAGCCAATGACTCTGGGAAGGCAGGTTGGGCAATGCCAGGGCAGAAATTCAAGGACATCCCCCGTTCTTCATACTAACAAATGGGTAGAGCCTTTGAGAGAGGCTTGTCTCCATAGAGATGGTCATGGAGACAACCACAGATACCTTTAGTCTCTCGAAGGGCTGGCATGAGGTAGAGACAGCAGATGGGCCGAGCCAGATCCTTAGATTGGAGGAAAGGGCAGGGCTGCTAATGTTAAAAGTGGAAGGTCTGGAAGATGGGGTCATATGTGGCCCCCAAAAGGGAGAAAAGCTGGAGACCAAAGTTAGATCAGCTTAAAGGAAACCGTCATCACACAGGGAGCCAAGGGTTTGAACCGGGAAAACTGTAAGACCCAGAAAGAATCACCAAGCATGAAACCAGCTGTTAGTGGGAAGTCGAGACAAGACCAGGCATCCTGAGGCGGGGATGGGGGCAGAGGCCAAGCACCGAGATGAGCCAACGCATCCTTGATCGGGAAACAGAAAGCGAGCTAGCGAGCTAGCGAGCTAACGAGGCTTGTTTCTTCCTAATGGTTTTGTGAGCGGGGAGCAGGTGGTCAGCATCTGGCCAAGTTCAATCCGAGCCTTATGAGGTGGGGCCCTAGAAATCGAGACAAGAAGCCATGGGGAGAAGCTAAGGTCACTGAGGACAAAAATGTTTTGTTTTTGCCTTTCTGTCCTCTGTGCCTTGGATGAAATACGTGATGAACAAATGTTTGTGCGATGGACGGATGGAAGCGGAAAAACAAACACGTTTCGTTCCAGTTTAAGAGAAAACTTCCCACTAGGTAGATTATACAAGAATGGAATTTGCTTCCAATAGTGAGCGCCCTCCCATAGGAACAACCAAAATAATAGTTAGCATTTCTGTGGCACTTTAATGTTTACAAAGCACCGTCTATATGTTATTTTCATTTGATCCTCACAACCCTGCTGTGAGGTAGGTGCTATCATTGTCCCCATTTTACAGATGAAGAAACTGAGGCAGAGAGGTGAAGTCATGTGGCCAGGATATCACGGCTCGTAACAGTCTAAGGGGAGAGTCTAACTCAGGTCTTCCTGATTCCAAGGCCAGGATTCTGTCCTCTACACCATGCAGATTCTTGACCTGGGAGTCCATGACTTTGCTTGTTGTTGGGTTTTTTTGTTTGTTTTTCAGTATTCTGATAACTATTCCAGAATGATTGGTCTTCTCTGCCATCTTTGTATTTTATTTGACATGCGTAAGCCCAGTATTCAGAGTGGGTCTGCAGGCTTCCCCAGACTGCCAGAGAAGCCCATGACACCAGAAGGGTTAAAAACTCCTGGTCTAGAGGGATTATAGTCCAGATTCATACTAAGTTCTGAGGTTGAACAGATGCGCTCTGAGGCCCCTTCCAATTCCACAGTTATTCATCTGGCCCTTCTCTGATTTGGAAGGAGGAGAAGCTGATCCCCTCCCCGCTTCATTTCCCATGCCCGCCAGCCCCACACTGACTCTGACTGTGCTTCCAGGGCCCTGGCCCTCTGCTCTGGGCTTGCTCAACAACTGTCTGTCCCTGCAGGGGGGCCACTGCTCTACAGCCACGTAAAGTTTGTCTACAACTCGAAACAGCTGAACGGAACCCAGCGGATGCTGCTGGATGATGTCTTGTCGGAAGAGGAGTGCAGAGAGCTCCGAAGCATGACCAGCGTAAGCGCCGAGGAGGGCAGCAGGGGGTCTGCGTGGTGTCTGGGCCGAGGGGAGGGAGCTTCCCGGCTCTTTGCTCACTTCCCTCCCTCAGCTTTTGGCTCCTTCAGGGCCAGGGCAGGTTAGCTGGGACCACTTTGGGATGAAAGGTCAGGGAAGTGTTTTGTGTTCAGTTCCAGAGGCCCATCATAAGCCGGGAGGCGGCCAGTGACCAGGATGGTGAAGGGTTTTGTCATGCGAGGACCCTTGAAGGCTGAAGAAGGGGCAGAGGCTAGACAGCAGAAGGGTGACAGCCATCTTTGGTGACTTGAAAGGCAGAAGGATTCCACTTGGCCTTAGAGGGGAGGGTTAGGTATAGTGGGTGAAAATTTCACAAGAGTGGATTGAACCTTCACACAAGGAAAATCCTTGACTATAAGTGCTGTCCCAATGTAGAATGGACCCTCCCTTACTGGTGGTCTTCAAGCACAGGCAGAACGTAGTATTTGGTAGAGGGGACCCCTTGTCTGATATGATTGAGGTTGGGTGTCCATGGAGATGCCTTCCAATGATGACATTCTGTGATTGTCTTAGAATCTTCGGGGCTGGGTGATCTTTAAGTGGGGAGATGAGGCTATGACTTCTGGTGAAGGAGCCCCAGTCCCACTCACCTACATTTCTGGGGGCTCAGTGAAGATTTAAAGGGATGGTATCTCAGAGGGAGAAAGCCATGCACACATGAGGTAGCATCATCACTCGCCCTAACGTGGTCCTGTTTCTGTGTTTTGCTTTCAGAGAATAATGCTTGCTGGTAGTGGGTACCAAGGGGAAGTTTCACCCCTCACTCCCAATGAAAAATTTGAAGGTGCCACCATCCTAAGAGCCCTCAAGGTAAAGAATTCACTTCTCAGATGAGATTCCTAAGGAACCATCCAGTGGATGGGAGATCTGAAAAACATGGCCCTAATGAAGCCAACATTCTCTGGTCATTTTTCAGGAAGCAGACATCTAGCTAGTGTCATTGACCAAATGCTAGGCCAGTTGAGTTAAAATCCTGCCTCACATACTTACCACAACTTAGGCTCTCAGCAAGCTGCTTCACCTCCCCAGGCCTCAATTTCCTCATCTGTAAATTGGGGATAATAGTCTCTACTTCATAAGCTTGCCATGAGGATCTGACAATATATGTAAAGTGCTTTACAAACCTTAACGTGCTTTGTAAACATTAATTACTGTTATTTTTCATAATAATATTCTGCTAATGTTCACACATCTAGCCATAGCCTGGCTCTCTGGCCAGGGCACGTCAGCATGGTAGATGTTCTGTGTTCAGTAACTTCTGGGGTCCAGGACCTTCCTGGGGACCCAGGGTTCCCCTCAATCAGCATCACTACAACATTCTTGTCCCAGGCCTGGGATTTCAGCCACCAGAGTAGTTTCTCTTCAAGATTTCACCACCTACGAGGCCTTTTTGGTTGTCTCGTCAAATAGTTCCCTGGGTACCCCCAAACTCCACGATCCGTTAATGTTCCCCTCATTTTATGAATGGATACATTGAAGCCTAGAACAAAGTAAACGTTCCCTTACCTAGTATTCATCTAACAAGATTATGAGAGGCAAGAGGAGGATTTAGAGTCAGAAGCCTGGGTTCGAATCCCAGTTCCCTGTGTTAATTGTGGGTGAGTCATATAATTTCCCTGGCCCGGGTGTTTCTCATCTGTCAAAGGAAGGGGGTGCCCTAGATGACTTCCAGAGGCCCACCCAGCTCCAAATCCCTGATTTGTGCCAGATTCCCGCTTGGATTTCCTTCTTTCCAGGCAGCTCAGTGGTTTCTTCTTTCTCTTCAGTTTGGCTATGAAGGCCGAGTACCCCTGAAGAGTGCACGGCTGTTCTACGACGTCAGTGAGAAGGCCCGCAAAATCGTCCAGTCTTACTTCATGCTGAACTCCACCCTCTATTTCTCCTTCACTCACCTGGTTTGCCGAACGCCTCTGTCAGGTGAGGCATCAGGGCCAAAACCTGGTGGTTTCTCTACTACATTCAATGAAAATGTCTTGGAGAATAAACTGTGAAAAACAAACTGGAGGAAGGTTTCCTACAGCTTGTAAGGCTTTAAAGTGAACGGTTTGTCCTGAGCACTATTTTCCCCTTTTTTCCACTTTCATTTTTGTTCAACAAAGTTCAAAGCACCAGCTGGGACATTTCTTCCTCCCTGTGTGTTTCCCAATGGATTTTGTGCATGAACTCCCAAATGCCTTTACTTAATCATAATCTCTTAATGGACAATTTTCCTTCTGCTTTATAACCTCTAACCCTGTTCTTTGTCCTTACGGAGACCTCCAGTCCCTCTGTCCTCAGTTATTTCCCAGGCCATCACCCCTGCTCTGGCTACACTCTCTTCCTTCTCTGTTTCAACTCCTTGGCTGGTAGATTCAACTCTCTGCTGTCCTCTCCACTTGCATCCCTGTTCCCCTTATCCAAGCCATGACCTTGAATCATTCCCAGCTTCCACTAGTTTCATTCCTACCCACTGACCACAGAATGAAGCTAGAGAAAATCTTGGAGCTGCTGCCCAGGTCTGCTGCAGATTCATGGTCCACAGTCTCCGTGGGTTCTCACTGCACTAAAATAATCCTCTGATATATCTACTCTCCCTCTCAGTGCAGTGGCTCTTCTCAACCTCTTCACCCCTGCCCTAGACTCCCCACTCCACACTCCCAGTACCATTCCCCCTTTCACTTTCTCAGTTGAAGACCTCACTTCATACTTCTCTGAGGGCCCCCTCTCCTTTCCTCTCCTCAATTCATACATAGCACACATAACAACCAATCACTCAGATGCCTTCTGCCGCTATCTCCTCTCTCACCCCTTTCTCTCATGAAGTAGCTGTTCTTCTGGCCAAGGCGCCCACTCATACGGACCTTTGTTCCTGTCCTCTCCAGCCAATTCTCCCCTTTGTGGCCCCCACTGTCTCTCACAGTCTTTCCCTGTATATGGCCCCAGCTTCTTCCTTGCTGCCTACAGACACACCCCTGTCTCGCATTCACCCTAAAAAGACTCCCTTTGATCCAACAACGCCCTTGGTCTACCATCCTCAACCTTTCCTTTCTTTCTTGGCTAAACTCCTTGAGAAAGTCATCTTTACTCATCGCCTCCACTTCCTCCCCCCTGCTGGCTCCTAAACCCTCGCAATCTGACTTCTGGCCAGACTGAGATTATCTCCTCCAAAGGTACGGATGATCTCCTAACCGCCAAATCCTATGGCCTTTTCTCCCTCTTAATCCTTCTGGACATCCCTGAAGCCTTTTTCAATGCAAGTCATCATTTCTTCCTAGACACTCTCTCCTCTCCATTTCCGGCACCCTACCGCTCTTTGTGATTCTCCTCCTTCCTGTCAGACCTCTCCTTCTCAGGTTTCTTTGCTGGGTCTTTGCCCGAGTCTTGCCCACTAACAGTAGTATCCTCCAGCCCTCTTCTCTTTTCTCTCTGGATTCTCTTACTTGGTGATCTCCTCTTCTCCCGTGACCTCCATGGTCATCTCTATACAGATGGTAGGCCTATTGAGCCAGGCGTAGTCTCTCTTCTGTTCCTCCAGTCCCATATCACCAGTTACCTCTTCAGGGTCTCAAACTGTCTGTCCTTTAGGCATTTCCGATTCAAAGTCCAAAGAGAACTCATTATTGACCTTCCCCTCCCCACACATGTACTACACTGCACGGCCCAAGCTCTCCTTCCCTTCTGCACTTCCTTATTGCTTACAAAGGCATCATCCTGCCAGTCACCTTGGCTCAAAACCCTGGTCTCATCCTTCATGCCTCACTCATACTCACCCCATGTATTTAATCAATCGTCAGCTAGGTGACACAGTGGATGGAGTGCCCCTCCTCAAGTTAGGAAGACATGAGGTCAAATCTGGCCTCGGACATTAGTTGTGTGGCTCTGAGCAAGCTAATCCACTACTATTTGCCTCAGTTTCCTCACTTGTAAAATGGGTATTATAATAACATCTACCTCTCAGGGTTGTTGTGAGGAATAAATTAGACAGTAAATGTAAAGTGCTTAGCACAATGCCTGGTGCTATAGAAATCTTACCTATCGTCACCATCGTCATCATCACCTTCACAACACTCTCACGTGTTTCCCCTTCACACTGCCCCCACCCTGCTCCTGATCCTCCTTACCTCTCACTTGGGCTATTACAACAACCTTCTGTTTCCTCTCCATGCCACCATTCTCTCCTCGCTCCAATCCATCCTCCACGCAGCTGCCAAAGTGATTTTCCTAAAGCCCAGGTCTTACGGTGTCCCCCTCACTACTCAGTAAACTCCCTTGGCTTCCGATTAGTTGATAAGTCAACAAGCATTTACTCAGGTCTTACTCTGAGCTAGACACTGTCTAAGCTATTGGCTTCATGATCAGATCGTTGGTTTGGCATTCCAAGCCTTTCCAGTCCTCTTCCATCTTACTGCCCTATGTGAACTCTGATTCCCGTGACACTGACCTCCTTGCTCTCCCTCACCCAGGACACAGCATCTTCCAGTCATTTGAAGTGGTGGTTCCCTCTTTCCCCACATACCTGGAATATTCTTCCTCCCCTCTACCTTCTGACTTCCCTGGACTCTTTCAAGACTCAGCTTCACTTACTAGCTGCGTGACCCTGGGCAAGTCACTTAACCCTGATTGCCTAGCAAAAAGCAGAAAAAAAAAGACTCAGTGATTGCCTTTCCCAGGCCCACGCCTCCACTGTTACTCCTATGGACCCTACGCCTTCTGTCTGAGTTTACGTCCTATCGCACTGATTGTATCTCATATATGCATAGTTACTCATATATTGTCTTGCTTATTAGAATGTGAGCTCCTTGAGGGCTTATTTTTTCTTTGTCCACAAGTTTTTACTGATGCCCTTTCTTTTCTTACATCACCAAACCTCTCTTGCCCTCTCCCAGAAAACCAGCCGATCTCTCAAATGCACTGATCGTGACTTTGCCTTTTTTTGAGTTGCCAGAATGTCATACAGCAGGCACTTAATAAATGTTGTTGACTAACTAAGCAGTGGTTCCCTCTAACATGAAAGGACTTATGAAGAGCCCCTTTGTTGAGCGCTGGGAAGGAGGAGAGAATGACACCTGTAGAGGCAGAGAGACCTTGATTGTCCTTACCACTCATAGAACTTAAACAGTCATTGTCTTTGCAAAGCAAATGTTGTGGGCTCTTTCTTTGTGGGTGTGAAATGTCATCAGCAATGGAACCCTTTGCATGTGGTGCCTTCCTACATGAGACCCACTCCCAGGTTTGTCCCTTTGTCATTTCTAATGGGTCTTTTTTCTGCCCCATGTCAAGTGACATAATGGAGAGCAGATAAGGAGAGGATCTCGTCCCACACCTCAGCAATCTCCTCTGCTTGGCAGGAAAGCTGCCCTCTCCCACTACACCATCTCTCACTCTTCCTTGATCTTCTCTCCTGGCAGATCAGCCACAAAACAGGGATGACCTTAGCCACCCCATCCATGCTGACAACTGCTTCTTGGACTCAGACACCAACGAATGCTGGAAGGAGTTTCCTTTGGCTGCAAGGGATTACAGGTACCACCTGTGATTAAAGGGCCAGTGCATAGATGTACTATTGTCAAAGAGCCCTAGGAATCAGAGGCAGGGGAGGTTTCACCTGCCACTCAATCCTCCTCTCCATGGAGGGTTGGATGGCACCAAGGAATGCTGATTAACCTTCATCCACACACCCATGGGTAAAACCAAGCCCATTAGCCAATGGAGAATGACAGAAGAGAAGTGGGGAAGGGAGCAGGAGCACAAACAGGAATGGTCCTGGGATCCTCCAGCATCTCTACGTCCAGTTGTTGGGATCTTTGCCCCAATTCTTTGTTCCACAAGAGACCGACCAGATCGAATTAAGTCAACAAGCATTTATTAAGCACTTGGTATATACCTCGCACTGTGCCAGGATCTGGGGATACAAAGAAAGTCAAAGACAGGGTCCTGCCCTCAAAGAGCTCACATTCTAATGGGAGAGACAGCAAAGAGCTAGGTATATCTAAGATCTATACAGGATGGATGGAGGGTAATCTCAGAGGGAAAGGGCTGTGATGGGGAACCCCAGAAAGGCCTCCTGCAGAAGATGGAACTTAAATGGCTTCTTGAAGGAAGCCAGGGAACCAGGAGATAGATATGAAGGGTCAGGACATTCTAGGCATGGGAGACAGCCAGTACAAAGACATGGAGACTGGAAATGAAGTGTCCCCTTGGAGGAACAGCAAGGGGGCGCCTGTCACGGAATCGTAGAGTACATGAAGGGAAATAAAATATAAGAATGCCAAAAAGGCAGAAAGGGGCCAGGTTGTGAAGGCTTTAAAGTGAAATAGAGGTTTTCTACTTGACCCTGCACGTAACAGGGAGCTGCTGGAGTTCATTGAGAAGAGGTTGGGCTATAATGTCCAGAGGCATGAACCAATGGCTATCACTTTGGAAGATGAAAGGGAGGATCTGTTGGCATGCAGGGAGATCAATCAGGATACTGTTGCAGTAATCCAGCTGAGAGGCATTTGGGGTCTGCACCAGGGTGGTGACTGTGTGATGGGAATGGAGAAAGGGGGAACGTATGTGACAGATGAAGAAGGTGGCTACAAGAAGACGTTGTGATGCTGGTGGGGACAATGAGGGTCTGAGGAGGAGCCCAAAGCTCCACTCCCAGAGCGTGGCGATTCCCTCAGTAGTGGTATCATGACTCACCCGCACTGGGCTTCCCAGACCACAGAAGTGGCATGAGGGCAATCATGGCAGCCAGACTCATCAGGACCTTTGTCTTTCTTCTCACAGTGCCATCCTCTATATGAATGAAGACTTTGAAGGCGGAGAGTTCATCTTCACCGGCATGGATTCCCAAACTGTGACTGTAAGTAACCTTCCTCTTGGATGCCTTATTCTCTGCCCGGCTCCTGCCATTTCCTAGAACTTCACAGTTTGGCTTCTTTCCATCCCTTTGGGGGCCCTGACTATTACATCTCTTGTGTTGATTATGGGGTGAAAGAAGTCCTGTGAATTCAGAGATCTGAAGTTTGAGTTGGAAAGGAACCTTAGAGATGTCTCCTCCTACAGAACATAAACTTCTTGAGGACATGTTTTTTGGGTATCCCTAGCATCTAGGACAGTGTCTGGAACGAAGAAGATTAATAAGGAAGTGCATAGTGATTATTGATTGATGCTCTTTCCAACTCCCTCATTTTACAAATAGGAAATAGAGACCCAGAGAGATTAAAGTGACTTGCTCAAAGTCACACAGTTATTCAGTAACAGAGCTTGGGGGATTATTCAGGTCTCCCAATGCTTGGCTTAATACTCATCCTGCTATATCATTTTCCAAACACACCCCAAGTCAACCAATCTTAGAGCATCATTGAAATGTACTCTATGGCCCTCTGGGGCATAATCTAATTTGTGGCCCTGATGGGAACAATAGTGCCGTCTCATTAGGAGAGTACTATTGGCTTTTAGGAGTCATCTATCCCTGAGCATATCTGTTCTGTCTTCATAGCTAGAGACCAGCTAAAATTAACCAAACCTTCTGACTAGCACCTCTGGAAACATTTTCCTCTCACCGTTATGAGCAGCATAATGGTATTCCTAGAATGTCTCTGCAGATAAAGGGCAGGGAAATTCTCCTCTCCACTCTTCAATAGCCCAACTCAAGCAACGGTTCAATCACCCACTCTGAGGTACACACAGAGTCTCAGGCTAGCATTCTATCTCTTGATGTAGAAGGGACTCTGAGCTCTCACAGGTGCCAATGCAGCACAAGCTGTGATCATCCTGCTAAGGATCAAGTCCAACTCTTGGGATGTTAGTTTGCTAACCTTCCTAGCAAATTTTGAAGAGACCAACCCCAGAAGATTGGTCTCTGGAGGATGATTTTTTTGGGCAATGGCAACTCTCAAAAACCAATCTTCTAAAGCCTAAGGACTATTAAGCTTTAGTATTTGGTATTAGTGGACAGAGTACAATGATTGATAAAATAAATCATGGAGCCTTGAAATAAAAAATAAATAAATAAATATAATATATTTATATAATATACTACATATAATATATAATAATATAATATATAAAATAGAAAGAAAGAAAGAGAGGAAGAGAGGGAGGAAGTCAGGAAGGAAGGAAGGAGGAAGGGAGGGAGGGAGAAAGGAAGGAAGGAAGGAAGGAAGGAAGGAAGGAAGGAAGGAAGGAAGGAAGGAAGGAAGGAAGGAAGGAAGAAAGGAAGGAAGAAAGAAAGAAAGAGAGAGAGAGAGAGAAAGAAAGAGAGAGAGAGAGAGAGAGGGAGAGAGAGAGAGAAAAGAAATCAGGTCTCTCTGAAATTGACTGGAGCCGAAAATCCAGTGGCGTGACGAAACATTCTCTTGACTTTTCCTCCCTCTAGAGGCTAAATTTGGTAAAGCTCAGAGGTTACTACAGACAACAAAGCATTGGTGGTCACGTCCAGCATCAATCCCTAGTATTTTTCAAGTTGTGTTGACAGGAATGAATTGGCAGCTCAGATCACTTAAAAATGTCTAATTGGTGTTATGTTTTAAATATTTCTGTCACTTATGAATGACTCTCTCCAGGCAACATTATCTTCCTTTGTGGGGGAAAAAAGACACATTTGGGCAACAACATCAATTAACATCTGTGACTCACTCTGTATCTCAGGTGGAGGGAGGGGAGATAAGGAAACAAGCATTTATATTGCACCTACTGTGTGCCAGGCACTGTACTGTGTACTTTTTTACAAATGTTATCTCATTTGATTCTTTTTTATTAATTTATTTTGATTTATCAACAATCACTTCCATAAACTTTTGACTTTTAAATTTTTCTCCCCCTCACTCCCCAAGACATAAAGCAATCTGACATAGGCTATACATATACATTCTTATTAAACACATTTTCACATTAGTCATGTTGTAAGAATTAGAACTCATAGGAGGAACCACAAGAAAGAGGAAACAAAACACAAGAGAAGAAAAAAAATAGCAAATAGTATGCTTTGATCCGAATTCAAACTCCATAGTTCTTTCTTCTTTGTGGATAGCATTTTCCATCATGAGGCCTTTGGAGCTGTCTTAGATTCTTGCTTTGCTGATAAGGGCTAAGTCTGTCAATATTAGTCATCGCACAACATGGCTGTTACTGTGTACAATGTTCTCCTGGTTCTACTCACTTCACTCAGCATCAGACCATACAAGTCTTTCCAGGTTTTTCTGAAGTCTGCCTGTTCATCATTTCTTCTAGCACAATAGTATTCCATTACATTCATATACCACAACTTGTTCAGACATTCCCCAATTGATGGATATCCTCTCAGTTTCCAATTCTTTGCCACCAAAAAAAGAGCTGCTATAAATAATTTTGTACATGTGGGTCCTTTTCTCATTTGTATGATCTCTCTGGGATACAGCCCTAGAAGTGCTATTGCTGGGTCAAAGGGTATGCACATTTTGATAGCTCTTTGAGCATAGTTCCAAATTGCTCTCTAAAATGGTGGATCAACTCCATCAACAATGCATTAGTGTTCCAATTTTCTCACATCTTCTCCAACATTTATCATTTTCCTGTTTTGTCATGTTGGCCAATCTGATAGGTGGGATGTGGTATCTCAGAGTTGTTTTAATTAGCTTTTCTCTAATCAATAGTGATTTAGAGTGTTTTTTTTATATGACTATAGGTGGTTTTAATTTCTTCATTTGAGAACTGCCTATTCATATCCTTTGACCATTTATCAATTGGGGAATTTCTTGTATTCTTATAAATTTGAGTTCATTCTCTATATATTTTAGAAATGAGGCCCTTATCAGAGAGACTGGTTGTAAAAATTCTTTCCCAATTTTCTACTTTCCTTCTAATCTTGGTTGCATTGGCTTTGTTTGTGCTAAAACTTTTCAATTTAATGTAATCAAAGTTATACATTTTGCATTTTCATTTGATTCTTGTAACAACCCTATGAGGTAGGTGCTATTACAGTCCCTGTTTTCTAGTTCAGTAAACTGAGGCAAACAGAGGTGAACTGACCTGCTCAAGGTCACACAACTAGTAAATGGCTAAAGATGGATTTGAACTCAGGGCTTCCTGACTCTAGGCACAGAACTCTATCCACTTTGCCACCAATGCAGGACCTCTATGGTCCACCACCCCAGGCAGCATGGTCAGTCAGTGAGTAAATCAATCCACAAGTGCTTATCAGTACTTACCACTGGTAAGTACTGGGGAATAGTATAAAGAGCAATAGCCCAGGTATCAGAATTCCTGATCTCCAAATTCTCCTCTCACTATCACTACCTAGTGATGCTGGGCAAGTTATTAGCACCTGCCAGCCTGCCTCAGTGTCTTCATTTGTAAATCGGCCAGGGAGCTGTCAGTATTCTGCCTGCTCTGATCTGAAATCTTTCCATTTCATCTCCTTTCATGTTATCATGATCATTGTGTAAATCATTCTCCTCGCATTGATGTGTTCTCCAGAGGCCACTGCCATTATGTCCATTCATTTTAATAGCAGGAAGTTTTATTTGAGAAGTATTAAATAAATAAAATGGATAATCATGTAATTTAATTAGAGAAGGGGTGGCTTAGACCTAGATTCACATCCTGGCCCAACTATTTACTACCTATGTGTCCTTGGCCAACTGACTTTCCTGCTTTGAGACTTGTTGGAAGTGAGCCTGGTGTCCAGAACTGGAGTCCTGGGTTGACCTCAATCGATTGAACAATGAACATTTATTAAGCACCTACTCTGTGCTCAAGGTTATAATATGGGCCTAGCCTTTTAGAACTGGGAGAGACATTTGAGACCACTCAGTTCAAGCCCCTCATTTTATAGATTTAGAAACTGAGATTTAGAGCAAAGATGTGACTTCCCCAAGGCAAGCCAAGATTGTAAGTGGCAAGGGTAGGATTCACACTCATATCCTATGGCTCTAATCCCAGTGTTCTTTCCATTACACTAGCCAGTCAACGAGCATTTATTAAGCACCTACTCCATACCAAGCACTTTACTAAGCCCTGGGGAGACAAAGGCAAAAGACAGTCTTTGCTGTTAAGCAGCTGCAGTCTAAATGGGGCATGAGGTGGGGTGAGGTGACATGCAAAGAAGTCTATACAAAAAGTACAAAGACTGGATCAACTGGAGATAATCAGAAGAGGAAGGCATGCCACACTGCTAGTGTTAAAAAGCTTTACAGCATAGACTCTGCCTCCATCAATGACTCACAATTTCCTTTGACTTTAACTAGACAGGCAAAAATTCCATCCCTTCCCAAAACGCAGTTCATTAGGAGAACTCAGTGCAGTCACCTCACCTGAGTGCCAGCTCCTGGGTAATCATCACAATGAGTACTGCAAGTCAGAATCTGCCTCTTCATTCCTCCCATGCATTAGTAGAGATGCTCCGACCCCAGCAACTCCTCAAGTTTCCATGGACCAGATAAACCTGGCCACGCACGTGGAGTGATGCCAAGAGAAGTGCTCACATCCACACCTCAAACATCCTAACATTATGGAGCTTTAATGAAGCACCAGGTGGGATTGTGCATGGTTGGGATGTGTCGTTACTTAAAAAAAGCTTGTTTGCTTTTTTTTTTCTTCTCCTCCAGGCCTCCATCAAACCAAAGTGTGGACGTATGGTCAGCTTTTCCTCAGGCAGAGAGAACCCTCATGGGGTGAAGGCTGTGACCAAGGGGCAGCGGTGTGCTGTGGCTCTTTGGTTCACCTTGGACCCATTGTACAGGGAGTTGGTAAGATCCCCTTGTGATGCATCACAATGGTCTGCAGCAGGTTTGACTTGCTCCCCACAGGCCCATCTTATAGAATCCCTAAACTGGGAGAACTCTTAAGAAAAGTGTCCCCTTTCATGTACACTAGAAACCTGAACATTTCAGAGAAATGCCTCTCTTCCTTTCCTGCCTCGTGAGGATCAAGTTGCCAGGATGGCCAAAGTGTTATTGCTGCAGGATTCACTTGATTCCAATTCAGTTTAACAGACATTTAGTAAGCAACGACTGTGTACCAGGATGTATGTGCTAGGGGCTGAGGATAAAAAGACAAGCCAAAGAGACTGATATCCCGCTGGAACAGGAGATGGATACTGTCCTGCTCCCTAAATGTGGCCACTCCAGGCTTTCTCTCTCAGTCTTTCTTTTGTCCAATCTGTCCTCTACATAGTTACCAAAATAATCTCCCTGAAGAATGAGTCTGACCAACTCACTCTTCTCATGAAACTGCAGTGGCACCCTGTAGTCTTAAGGAGATAAGCTCCCAATTCTGACATTTAAGAAACATAATCTGGCTCCAATTTATATTTGCCTCCTTGTTCATCATCATTCGCCTTCACAAACATTCCCTGGAGCCAGACCAGACCCCTCATTGTTCACTGACCTCCTGCCCCTCTCACCTCTCATGTATTTACATGGGTTGCCTTCACTCCCTCACACACATATTCACACACACACATGCACACACGCACAGACACACACACACACGCACGCACACACACACACGGAATGCACTACTTCCTCACCTTTCCTTCCAGACTCCTTTCTGCCTCTAGGCCTTACCATTTATCTGCCAAAGTTTTCCCCAGGTCCTTTCCGCCCCATACAAAGATGTTTTCTACCAGTATTTTCCCACAGCACCATATCTGGATTTTTCCTTGGCCTTCTTCATACCAGCCTAATATTATATATGTTTCCCATACCCCTCCCCCTCTTTACTGCCTAAGGGAAAATGGAAGCTTCTTGAGGGAAAGGACAGTTTTATTTTTGTCATTAGAACCTCATGGCTTAGCATGGTGCCTGGTATCCAGCAGGTGCTTAATAAATGCATGGTAGATCAAACTGAATCCCGGGAAGAGGCAATTTCCTAGATTGCACCACAGTTCTATGAACACCCACTCTTCCATATTGGCAAGGGGTCCATTGGGGTCTTACTGGAGGCCGCTTACTCTTAGGTAGAACCTGTCCTCAGGGAAGGGAAGAAAGCACTGTGGTTGGAGTCTGGACCTGAGTTCAGCTCTTGACCCTGATCCTAACTTTGTGGCTGTGAGCAAACCTGGACTTCTCAGAGTGGGGCCATGGGAAGAGAGCTAGAGCCAAGAGTCTTGCGTTCTAATTCTGCTGCTTCTCTGAGCAAAATGACGTTAAGCAAAGTATGAAAACCTCTCTGGGCTTCAGTTTCCTTCTCTGAAAAAGATGAGGGCTGATTAGATGACTTCTCTTTCAACTCTACACTTAGGATCCAATCATATTCAGTTCCCTTATCTATACAATGGGGGGTTGGGCCAACCTTGAGCATACTCAGATCCCTAAGTAGATTGGGAACCAGCTCCCACAGAACGAGCCAACATTGTCTACTTTTTGCCTCGTGATCCCTTCAGAGGATTTTGTGGCTGAAAGTGCCACAGAAGTCAGTAAGCCCAGTCCCCTCATTTGGAAGAATCTGAAGCAAAAGTCCAGACCAGCACAACGACTTGTCCTTTCGTGAAGTACCCACACATGTCCTGACCACACCGTCCACTCCTGCAGAGCTACAAAGGGAGCCTTTCAGGCCAAGGGCCCCTGTGTGATGATCTGTAATCTCCTTGGGTTCTCATGCCTCTGACTTAATGAGACTCACCATTGCTAGAGATTAGGCAAACAGTGAGAGGGAGCTTGGGGGTGAGGAAGAACCCCTGGGCTCTCAACTCTACCTGTATGTCCATATAGGGTCAGGAGACCCAGAGAAGGGTCTCCAGCATGTGATAAACTTATGGAAGGACACAGACCCAAGAGTGGCACACCGTGGCCAAGGGTGGACGAGTGGAGATCTGTATCCCTGAAGAGGAAACAGTCCACGTGAATGAGAACACAGAACCATTGAAGTTTCTCTTCTTAGAATCCTCACGGCCACGTTTGCCCTCTGATATCAATAAGTCAAAAAAATAAAATTCCTCTCACAGACATAAAATCCAAGTTCCAATGCAATCTGAATTTTCTCCATTGAGAGAAAATGCTAGTGGACCCCAATGCTATCCTCCATCTTTTATCAGGGAGCAGCGACATCTAGTGGTGGAAGTGGGCAATGCTGCATAGAGTCTTCAATCATCCCTGTTCAGCCCAAGGTTATAGGTACGCACAGCATGTCCATTGTTTTTGAACTGGTCCTATGGAGCAGTCGCCCATCAGTTACTCACTGGCTTCGGCACATTTTGTCACCTCGAGCAGGCCAGTCCCAAATTTATCTAGACTAGAGAACACACCAGTCAAGTCAACAAACATTGATTAAGCACATACTATTTCCTGGGGACACACACACACACACACACACACACACATCCAGACCCTGCTCTCAAGGTGCCACAGTCTGATGGAGGAGACATCTACAAACAGCGATGTGCGGACAAGATAGGAGGAATCAGAGATGGTCTCAGCGGGACCTGCCTGCCAGGGATGTTGTAAGAATCAAATGAAATATTTGTCAAGTGCTTTGCGAGTCTTAAAGTGATATATACACGCTGGCTATTCAATTAAATATGGCGATGATTTTGATGATGATGATGAGGTCCTAACCCCTCAGAAATCAGAAGGAGCCATTTTCACCCCCAAACTGAGGGTCAGAGTGAGCTGTCCAAGGTCACGACAGCCTTATGGTAGGTATTTTACCCATATGTCCATAGCTCCTGCCTCGAGCTTAGCTGCAGTGACCACTCCCTGCCTCCCTTAGATGTCCAGACCTAGTAGGGAGAGGGCATCAGGTAATCCCAGGTGGTCCCAGGTGATCCCAGATGATCCCAGGGGTCGGAAGGGACCTCAGAGGCATCCGATCCTATCTGCAGCAGACGCCCCCCTATGAGATACCTGACGTGAGCTTGTCTGGCTGCTGCTTGATGGCTGCTGCCTGTTACCTCTGGGAGTGCCTGTCTCACTTGCCACTGGGACTCATTGTTTGTTCAGGTTTTCTTTGTTTTCCCTGGATACTGAGACTTGGCATTGTGGCTGATGGCTCTCCCACCCAAGGCCACCCAGAAGACATGTCTTTTCTCTTCCACATGATGACTCTTCAAACCCCTCAATGCTGAACATAACTAAACCTTCTCTCTTCTCTGGATGAAACCACCAGCCCCCCATAGCCTGCTGGTGTACCCTGGAGACCCCTCCCCAGCCTGCCAGGGTGCCCTGGAGACCCTTCCCCAGCCTCCTCACCTTACTCTCCAAGCTGCCCAGCTCTGGCTGGGTTTCCCTGAACCCCTCCCCTCTGCCAGTTCCCACTAATTCTGTCTCCTCTCACTTCAAGGCACTGGTTTGGAGGAAAGATTTCCTGTTGGGATCAACACTGAAAAGGAAAGTTTGGAGATGACTCATAGGCATATCCAGAGAGACATATGTGTGTGCATATCTGCATATAAGCATATATCTTATAAATATGTAAATTACTTAGGTAACATATCTACAACATGTATTAAATATTATTTACTACATTATTAAAATCATATTTAAATATGTGATATTTACACCCAGATATTATAAATACACACACCTCACTGTTACAGCAGCTAATTGGATGAGGGGTTAAAATGAACCCTGGATCACATTGCCCCCAGACACCTCTGCTGTCTCAGGTAATCATCATAACAACGGCTAACATTTCTGTGCACCTGCTATGTGTCAGACACTGGGCTGAGAGCTTTACAATTATCACCTCATTTAATCCTCACAGTGACTCTGGGAGCTAGGGGCTATTATCCCCACCCAGGCAAACAGAAGTGAAGTGACTTGTCCAGGGTCATGTAGCTAGCTAAGGGAATCTGGATTTGAGATAAGGTCCTCCTGACTCCAGGCCCCACTCCATCCACTGCCCCATCAGCTGAGTATAATGCTAATGCATCTCATGCAGACATTTAATTTTACATTTTATTTGGTGTTTGGGGAGTAGCCTGCCTGACCTGGTCTGTTCACACAAGCATTGTCCTTTGTTTTGAGGTTGCCACTTGTTTGTAACTCACCCCCCACCCCCAGTCTCCACCACCCAAAAGCTTCCCCTGGTCAGAAAGACCTGAAATGGCAGGTGTTGCACCTTGCAGTCTATGCAGTATTGGGGAGCCATAGCCCCCCACTTCTGCAATGAAAGGAAGGTGTTCTCATAGCAGCCTCGGAGATAATATGACCTGTTGAGGACAGAAGTACCCGCTCAGTCCTGTGGCCCAGCAGCTAACGTGGTGCCAGATGCCTCCTGATTGGGGGGGAGGGGGCAGCTGCTGGTGGTAACGCTGAGATGGGTGCTAACAGAGGCTCCTGTTTTCTCTCTTCCAGGAACGTCTTCAGGCAGATGAAATGATCAGACAGTGGAACCATGAACAGGGCATCAACCCCAAAGATGAACTATGAACGTGGCCAAGAGCGTCCTATCAAATATTTATTTAATAATGTTAATCTTATTAGAACCTTTTATTTTTGTACAGAGTCTTGGTATAAATTAATGGGTTAATATGGGTCTCCTAAGCCTCCCTTTGGTTGTCTACAATCTTTCAATCTTGTGATCAGTGCATCTTTCAAGAGAATCAATCGAGCGGTCAATCGGCAAACATGTATTAAGTGCCTTCCAGGTGCTGGGGAATACTCAAAGAACCCCTGGCCTCGGGGAGCTGATGTTACAATCCAACATGCATTTATTTTCATTAAGTGCCTATTCAGTGCCCAGCATGGGGCTGCAATGCTAGGAGTACAAAGATAAACATGAAAAGTCCCTACTCTCCAGATGTGCAAAAGGAAAACCCAAACCCCTCCCATTCATTTGCTGAGGATCTCAAAGCCCAAACAGGGAGGGTCCCTCCTTTCTCTGCTTGGCAGAATTCCAAGCTTTGAAGCCCAGAGGTTTGAGGTGCTTTTAGGCATGTTAGCTCATATGAACTTTACAACAACTCTAGTCCATAGTGTGCTTACTGCCACCATTTTACAGATGAGGAAAGAGGCAGGGAGAGGTTAAGGGACTTGCCTAAGGTCATACAACTAGTCAAGTGTCTGAGGCAAGATTTGAATGCGGGTCTTAGTCCCACACTATCCACTGTGCTGCCTAGATGCCATTAGTGAAAGAAGCCACCAAGCCATTCTAGGTTAAGGCTGAGAAGGTTCCCAAACTTCTGAGAGCCCAGACCCAGGGAGTTATTGCTGGTATTTACCCCACAGAACCCAGAACCTGCTCCAGGAACATTCATGGCATGGCCTGGTTTCTTCTCCTGTGTATCCCCTGTGGGGCCCAGATTACTGGCTGGCAATTTCCCTGATCATTTTCTCCAGCTTTGGGGGGGTACCTCAGTTTTGTTACTGTACAACACATTTGTGCTTTCATCTAAATCTTTCAATAAAGGGAAACTTTATTTTAACACCAGTATTCTCAGTGTCTCAGTCATTTGCTCAGATATTTGTCCACAGGCTCCTGCAATGTGGACAGTGCTCTAAACAGCTTCTGGGTCAACAACAAAGCATTCTTTAGGTACCTACTATGTACCAGGCAGTGTGGTAAGTGCTCGGTATATAGAGAAAGGCAGAAGTCAGTCCCTGTCCTCCAGGCTGGCGGGCAAGAGGGCAGGCATTAGGCGCCAAGCATTTATGAAGCACTTCTTATATGCCAGGCATTGTGATAGGTGATGATGACACAAAAAATAAGCAAAAAGAAAGACGGTGCCTGCTCTCAAGGAGCTGACGTTCAAACAAGAAGAAGGAGGCAGAAAAGGTAGAGGAGGAGAGAGAAGGTCCTGGTGCGGAGGCAGATCAATAAACTAGAGTCAGAAACACAACCAGGAGGGGATGAAGGGGGGCTGTCCTGGGCATGGTGCTGTCCCAAAATGGCAGCCCCAGAAGGAATCCACCAATGGGAAAAGGGCGCAGGTTTGGCAAACAGACGTTCCAGGATGAGAAAGCCTCAGCAGCTGAGGGAAGGGCCAGGGTGAGAAGAGTGTCTAGTGAAAGAGCTTGCCCCACATTGCTGCTAAGTGAGGCAGGGCCCGGGCCTTCAAAGAGCTTCAAGGCTAATGCAGTGTAATAAAACAGCTATGTAATACAATGAAGAATAAAAATAAAATTGAAATAAAAATTAGAATTAAATCAGGTACACAAAAAGATTGTAAATGCCCTAGTCGGCTAGATGAGGAAGAAATCTTCTATCAAAGCTGTCTGAAAAGGTTAATGGAAAAGGGGACATTTCTCTTGTCCCAAGAAATTTGGAATCGTATTTGAAGGGCATTAAATTCCAGACAAAGGAGCTTTTTTCCTTATTTAATAATAGCTAGCATTTATATGATATTTTAAGGTTTGAAAAGTACCTTATGAATACTAGCTTATTTTATCCTTGTGATAACTCTGGGACATAGGTGTGGTCATTGTCTCCATTTTATGGTTGAGGAAACTGAGGCACAGGTCAAGTGGCTAATCCAAGGTCACATAGCAGGTAAGTGTCTGAGGCTGGATTTGAGCTCAGGTCTTCCTGACTCCAGGCCCATTGCTTTATCCAATGTGTCATCTAGCTGCTTAGTTAGGAGAGAAACTGGGAGCTGTGGTGGGGTTTTCAGCCTGGGTATATCATGATTCGTATCTGTGCCCAAGAAATACCAATGTGTAGATAAGCTCACAAGAGAGAGAATGGCTGGAGATGGGAAAACCAACTGGAAGAATGTGGTGATGCCCCTGGCAAGTGACTGGTCCATCTGTGTGGCTGGGGAAAAGGGAAGAAGTGTTGGAGCTACTTAGGAGGAAGATTCTGAAGGAGTGGGCAGGGGCTAGCTGGTGGCATAACCCATTAGACCAATGGCTATTTGGGAACAGGGTTCAGTTGCAGAGGCCCCACCAGCTACTTGTCACCACCACTCTTCCTGCCCAAAGTGGAAATGCCAGGAGAGAGTAGAGAGACAGACAGAGACAGGAAGACACTTAAAGAGAATATATGGGCTCAGGAACCTTTGATCCCCAAATAGGTTCACCCTGGGAAAGTTCCAGTCACCTCTCCTGAAGCTGTTGGCAAAGGACCCTGCTAAACTTAGCATCACATGAAGGAAATGCCAGGTGTGGGCAGTGAGCAGGTGACTGGGCATCTTCTCAGGTGCCCTGGGGAAGGTTCACCTCCTGGGCTTTTCTAGAGTAAGTAGATCATGGAGCCCACCCTCGACATTCTATACACTGGCATGACATCCAGGAAATCATAGTAACATCATTCCAGAGTTGGAAGGAACCTTATCTAGACAACCCTTTGACTTTACAGATTAAAAATCTTAATTCTAGAGAGGGAAATGAACTTGGCCAGGGTCACACAGGGAGTGAGTATTCAAGCCTAGATCTGCCACTCTAACCCTTACCACAGTCTGGTGGGATCTGCCTGATTGAAAGTCATCTCACCCTAAACCCTAAAAGTGAACAGTAGAAGAATATGTTTGTTTTCTCTTTTTATTTTGGGAAAAAAAAATAGGAAAGAAAAGACTTCCAAAATACTAATTTCCCTTTGATTGGACTTCGATTACTTGTATTGATTTTGCCTCTTAGACTTACAGAGTGGAATTGGCCCAATGAACATCCCATCTGTCTTCTATCTCACTTTACATTTCTCCTCCTCTCACCCCATGACATGTTTTTTTTATAAATGAAGGAAAGGTCCTTCTCACGTTAAAATACTAATAACTGTAACCAAACCCCTTTTCCTAACCCAGCTGCTGCTATGGCCAAGTTTGTGCCGTCTCAAATGTACCGTCTCAAAAGGTGTCATGCACCTTTTACTCCAATTGTAGGCGAATGTTCTGGCCAGTGTCCCGTCACAAAAACTCACTTGATTAAAGTTCGCTCATTCACTTTGCCCTGAACACTGAGGCACTGATTCCTCCCACATTTCACTGGCCTCTGAGGAATTATCAAAGGTTGGCTTTCGGGTCAGTCACAAAGGAATCCACCAAGAGGCCAACTGTGCTTGCTCTCTGTCACTCCCCATGTGGCCTTCTTAGGAAGGCTCTCCCTGAAGAGTGCCTGGGACTCTGAGCATGACCTCGACCGCGGTCTGACCAAGGGAGGGAGAAAGACTTGGGGAACTAGATCGTTAGGCAGATAGCTTGTGGGGGACCAATTACTTACACTGCAGAGAAGATATTCCTGCTTTCTAACCAAAGGTTTACACTTAGATACTCTTTGGAGACAAGAACCACCCACCCCACCCTTTTTTTTTAAATCTGCTGTCCTTCCTGGGTCTAAATTCTTTCCCATGAGACATGGAAAAATCAAGAGATTTCAGAGTTGGAAGAAAGTTCATCAGCTAATCACTGCTGGGACAAATATCCCCTCCATACCATCAAATGGTCGGGTGGCATTTTGAGCAAAGTCCTCCAGTGAGGCCCACTACCTCCTGAAACAGTCGTTCTCACCTTAAGATATCTCCAAAAGCATCAACAACAATAACAAACCTTTATTAAGTGCCTTTTATGAGCCAGTCATTTACTAATCACTGGGAATGCAAAGAAAACAGGATGGTCATGCCCTCTACAGTAACAGAGAAGTTCAGAAAAGGGGTCAAGAAAATGAGTTTGGTTCTGGACAAATTCAGGTTGAGATGCCTATGGAATACCCAGAGATGTCCAGTAGGCAGTCAGAGGATTAGGACTCAGATGAAAGACCAGGCTCAGAAATACGGAACTGGGAATCATCTAATAGAGATGATAGAATCCATAGGAGCCGATCAGTTCACCAATGGAGGTAATTCAGAGAGAAAAGAGGACCCAGGACAGAGGTTGAGTGACACCCATGACTCATCATCACATCATGGATGGAACCAGTAAAGGAGGCTGAAAAGGAGTTGTCAGACAAGTAGGAGGAGAACCTGGAGACAACAGTGCTGTGAAAACTTTGAGAGGAGAGAGCGATCAGCAGGGCCAAATGCTGCAGAGTGTTCGAGAAGGATGAGGACTGAGAAGACTCGGCAAGGAAAGAGTCCAAGATGAGTCCCAGGGTACAAGTAGGTACCTAAGGGAGCAGTGATAACCTCTGGGAGGACATGATTGTTTAAGGGGAGAGCAGGCTACAACACTGTGCTGATGCATAAACAGACATGCCACATTCTATCCAGAGAGAAATGGCTCACCAAAGGGGAATTTATCATTAGCCTGACACTCAAGGATTAATTTGTAGAATCTCAGAGTCCAAAAGGATTTTAGAATCTGTGTGGTCCAACCCATACCTGAACCAGGACAGAACACTGACATGAAAACCTAGAGAGGAGAATTCTCCTCTATGAGGGCTTCTAGGAGGGCAAAAAGAAGGAGGAGAAATGCCTGTCAGATTTGGCAGTTAAGAGATGAATGATAACCCTGAAGAGAACGGTTTCCATCGAACGTTGAGGTCATGAGAGATGCTAGGATTCGGGGATTCTGATGGGATCAAGCATGGACTGCATTAACTTTCAAGCAACCTAGAGTTCACATCTCAATCAGTGATCTCAAGGCACCTCCCCCAGAACACCTCTAGCAAAAGTCACATCCTACATGTGTGTCTCACTTCAAATTGATCTAGCTACATATTACATGCCCATTACATGTGTGTAGGCTACATTCAAGCAGTAATGTTGCCAGGCACACATACATAAGTTATTTCATTTGGTTCTCCCAACAACTTCTAAGCAGAGCAGGTGTTAGTGTTTCCATTTTTTCAGGTGAGGAAAGTAAGGCTCAGAGACTTAAATATAAAGTTATAAAGGGGAAGATTTAGTCTTCAGGCTGTCTTCTTCATAAACATAGATAGAACATTTCCTGGCAGTTTTCCAGCTGAGGAGAAGCCATGGGATGAGTCAGAAGAGTTTAATAATATATACTTGTGAATTTTAATTGCAATACAAATGCTGAGCTATTTCATGTAGGAGAGCCCCAAGGGATGACTCCCTCCCTGACGTCAAAGGAGAAGGTAATGGAGGCCTCTGCTCCCCACCTTCATACCACAGCATTAACGAGTCTGAAGTGACTGGAAGCAATAAATCTGGAGATGGGAAGAAGTCAAAGTGTTCCCACCATCAGAACTAAAAGAAGGATAACCACTTGGGAAAACTTCCAAAGTACAAGTGGGATCTGGTGGAGAATCAGTCTCATTTCTTTCCAACGTAAGGGATGAGGGGCCCTCCCAGGCCCCTGGCCCACCCACGGCGGCTCCACTCCAGAACACCTAAGAGTCAGTGTTTCCAATACAACGCTTGGGAACATGTTACATCTTTGGTGTGGTTAGCTCCTACAAGAACGCTGTGTTCAACAGCACCCGGCAACTCTTCAGATGAGCTGAAGGTAAGGGCTACATGTGCTGCTGTAAACTCATGGGGTCGCCGGGCGCTGTCATCGTCCGCTAAATCAGAGTCCCCTTTTTGGATCGCTGTGT